CGGTCACGTCAGATTCAAGTTTATTCTCAATTATGTACTACTAGTTCAGTTACCTTGTTCTCTAGAAATCTCTCATTTGATTTTTTGTGTCAATTTCTTACTATTCCTTTTGGACGTGACTAACGAGATGTTTGTACAGCTTACTAACACATGCATATAAATATCAAGTAGTTAATACATCTGCATGGCAATGGCAGAAAAGATGGCACCTCAAACTAAACAAGCAAAGAAGGATGAATATGAGAAGAGAGATGAGAGTAAAGACTATACTCTGCCATTTCACAAATTACTAAGCAGAGCAGATGCAGTGGACTGGACACTAATGGCTTTATGCACGTTGGGATCCATAGTGCATGGCCTTGCCCAACCTGTCATCTATATGCTGCTCGGCAAAGCCCTTGACGCATTTGGAAACAACATCAATGACACTGCCGCCATGGTCAAAGCCCTCAAAAAGGTATGCCGATCGGAGGCAAAATCCAGGATTTTAATTGTATGGGTTCTGATATCAGGTTTCAACCACTGCACCCATCACCTTTGTTTGAGTTATGGGTTCATAGTTCAATATTTTCAACAATTTCAGTGATTTTACACAAATAAATTCAGGTCAAAGCTAAAAAGTTAAGGGTTCATCTCGAAAATCATAAATTAAACTGTTAGCTTCAGAAAGGTTCTTAACTATTTTTCTATGTTTTATTATTGCAGGTCATTCCATTAGTCTGGTATATGGCATTTGCCACCTTCCCTGCTGGAATACTAGGTAATTTTCTTACAGTTACCAACATTTTGACTACCAAGGCTAAAAACAGCTCTTTGCCAATGTCTCTCTCTCTCTCTCACACACACACATGTACAAACACAGATGCTGATAACAGCAGGCTATTAATCAAACAAAACATAAAAGAGCTAGGAAAAGGTTAAATAATTTCTATAGAAACCACACGAAACAAAGAATATTTTACGGCATTTGGAGTGTAGAAACTGATGTATGCTAAAGTTAAGAACTTAAGTTCACATGTATATGATGCAGAGATAGGATGCTGGATGTATGCTAGTCAAAGACAAGTAGCGCGTATAAGACTGGAATTTCTGAGTGCTGTTCTCAAACAGGAGATTGGAGCATTTGATACGGATCTAAATAGTGGGGAAAATAATCACTGGAATAAGCAGCCACATGTCACTCATACAGGATGCAATTGGAGAGAAGGTACAATGCTCGCGCAGCTATTTATGGTCCAGTCTCATCTTTTAACCTTAAGGTGCCCATATTTGCATCTCTGCAAGCACAAGTATCAAAGACACAGCTAAACTTGAACGAGAACTAGCTAGCAAATAGTTGGCTGATTGAATTAGCAACTCGATTTCTGCATAAACCATTAAAACATGTAAATAGATGTATGAAGTTAAATGAGCTCTAAAACAATCTACTAGCAGTTGGAAAGACCTGGTCACAAAAATCTCATCACCAAATCAGACATCTGATGTCTCCTAAATCTTGAATACAATCCAATATAACACTCAAATGGCAACGATTCAGTTACATCTAAACATGTTTCCTTTCCTGACAGTTGGGACATTTTATGTCAAGCATTTCAACTTTCTTTTGCGGAGTCCTGATTGCATTCATATCCAGCTGGGAAGTGTCACTCCTATCCTTACTTGTCGTCCCACTAATCTTATTAATTGGCGCCAGTTATACAAAAGAAATGAGTGCAATTTCAGCCATGAAAATGTCATACCTGTCACAAGCCACATCAATGGTAGAAGAGGTAACACGCTTATCCATTTTTTTGGTGATAACATGTTATCAAAGTACAGGCAGATCTTACTTACACTACTGAACGATTATTCATATTGCACCTCTGCTGCTCCATGACAGACAATCTCTCAAATCAAAACCGTTTTTGCTTTTGTTGGAGAGACTTCATCAATCAAGTCGTTCTTAGACTGCATTGGAAAACAGATGAATCTAAGCAAGAAAGAAGCATTTATAAAGGGTGTTGGAACGGGCATATTCCAGACTGTAACTTTCAGTTCATGGGCTCTTATTGTGTGGATGGGAGCTGTTGTTGTATCAGCTCGAAGATCAAGTGGCGGAGATGTCATAGCTGCAGTTATGAGCATTCTGTTTGGTGCAATGTAAGAGCCAAAACATCATATTTTACAATAGAGTCTGTCATGCTATGAAGAAAGAGGAAGAAGAAATCAAAGTACTGTCAGAAAAAGATGGTTTTATTATCTTTCTTTTAATTTCAGAGCACTTACATATGCTGCACCAGATATGCAAATATTCAATCAAGCAAAAGCTGCAGGAAAGGAGATTTTCCAGATGATCGAAAGAAAACCAACAATCAGTGCTGACTTGAGAGGGAAGACGCTGGATGTGATTAATGGAAACATCAGTGTAAAGGATATACACTTTGCTTATCCATCGCGGCCTGAAAAGATGGTTCTTCAAGGGTTTTCTTTGTCCATTCCAGCAGGAAAAGTAGTGGCAGTTGTGGGAAGTAGTGGTTGTGGTAAAAGCACCATCATCTCATTATTGATGAGATTTTATGATGCAAAGAGAGGTTTGCCTTCCCTCCACTATTAATTAGAAGTCTCAACTCTTACATGCAAAACTTGCAAGAGCCAGTATTTTAACTTTATAGGTTCTGGATTTTAGAACGACGACTTAAAGTACTAATAATTGGGTTCTAAATTTAATATTTGTACATATTTTAACATAAATATATTGTTTGAGCAAAAGCTGTTGGGTTCGGTTGAACCCATAGGGGGGCTTCTAGCTCTGCCCCTGCTTGCAAGGGCATTGACAAAATAAAAGAAAGTATTCACATGTAAATGTCTAGAAGCTTCTTAATGTACATAATCTCCATAGTCAGATAAAGTTGCCTGATTTATATATGAATGTTAGAACACTAACTCAGTACGAAAACATTCAGGTGATATTCTCCTTGACAACCATAACATCAAGGATCTTGACTTAAAGTTTCTGAGGAGAAATATCGGACTAGTTTCCCAGGAGCCATCACTATTTGCGGGCAGCATTAAGGACAACATCAGGATAGGAAAATTGGATGCAGATGACGAGGAGATTGAAAGAGCAGCATCCTTGGCAAATGCGCATTCTTTTATACAACAGCTCCCTCATCAATATCATACAGAGGTCAGACCAGTGCCCCTCACACACATCATTCAATTTTCATTCTTTGGATATGGAGATAATACGGTCAAAGTCACCGGAAAAGAGATATTGTTGAAGAAAGAAGAAGACTGGCTTAAAATTACATGCTTGTTCATAACCAGTAGATTTTCTAAGGAGTTAAAGCTGAGGCATTTCAGAAACTGTGAAACACCAAAAGGCCAATTGTTTTTTGTAGAACATCTGAGATTCAAAATGAAATTGAACAAAAACAAAAATCTTTCCAATTAGGAATGGTCTTAAACCTGCACTATTGGAACAAAAAATTATAACTTCCCAAAACTAATATAGCAAAATTTCATACCAGACTTGGTGAAATCTAGCACCTAGCCTCTTTTATCCCATGCTAATGATATTTGCATTACTTTTTATACCGTGATAGCTCAAAGTCACATCCAGAGAGAATCCTCAGTTAGTTGGAACAACCGATAACTAATTAAAAAGAGTTCCATCAATTGGAGTAACCAACAAGTAATGAACTGTGCAATTATTTTTGGATTTTGTTAGCTCCCTAACACTAGCATAAGACCATCTGTACAACAACAACAACAACATACCCAGTATTATCCCACACCGTGAGGTCTAAGGAGGGTAGTGTGTACGCAGACCTTACCCCTACCTTGTGAGGATAAAGAGGTTGTTTCCAATAGACCCTCGGCTCAGGATAGTATAAGTACCGCATTAATGAAAATATAGGCAAGAATAGACAGTACCAAAAAGCCATACAACAGAAGAATAAAACAATAAGACAGTGAGGTGATCAACAATGAAAGAAAATAACGGTTAGTCATAAAAACTTCCTACCAACAGAAAGCGAGACTGCGTGCCAATACTACTGTTATGAACACTCTACACTACCTACTCTACTACCCTAATCCTCGACCTCCATACCTTCCTATCAAGAATCCTTGAAGCTGCGTCATGTCTTGCCTAATCACGTCTCCCCACCTCTTCTTTGGCGTACCTCTACCTCTCCGTAGGCCCTCCAATGTCAACCTCTCACACCTCCTCACTGGGGCGTCTGTGCTCCTCCTCCTCACATGACCAAACCACCAAAGCCGCGCTTCCCGCATCTTGTCCTTAATAGAGGCCACACCCACCTTATCGCGAATAACCTCATTTCTGATCCTATCTAACCTGGTGTGCCCGCACATCCATCTCAACATCCTCATCTCTGCTACCTTCATCTTCTGGACATGAGCAATCTTGACTGGCCAACACTCAGCCCTATACAACATCGTTGGTCTGACCACCACTCTGTAGAACTTACCCTTAATTTTCTGTGGCACCTTCTTGTCACACAAAACACCGGAAGCGAGTCTCCATTTCATCCATCCCGCCCCAATACGATGTGCGACATCTTCATCAATCTCCCCATCCCCCTGAATAATAGACCTGAGGTACTTAAAACTCCCTCTCCTAGGGATGACCTGCGAGTCCAGCCTCACCTCCCCTTCCCCTCCTAGAGTCTCGCCACTGAACTTACACTCCAAGTATTCTGTCTTGGTCCTGCTCAACTTGAAACCTTTAGATTCCAGGGTTTGCCTCCATACCTCTAATTGCGCATTCACACTGTCTCGTGTCTCGTCAATCAATACAATATCATCTTTTGTATTAGCACCTGGACAGTGCTCTTTTGCATCTTCTTGATGCTTTTTATAATATCTTTTACTTCATCAAAAAAAAGTTCGAGCTTACACTTTAGGAGTAAAGGAAAATCAATAGAATGTTTCTATATAAGCAAACCCCCTAAAGTTATTCTCAGAAGTTAGAGGTCAATTATGAAATAACAACAATAATGACGACGAACAAAACAACAACAGTGAGTTGTTAATTACTGATATAGGAAATGAAGACCTAATAATCCTACAACTCAGATACTTGTCATAAAAGAAGCTACTTAAAGTTAACGAAATTATAAAGATACTAAAACAACTAGGATATCAACAATTAATTACTTAAAAAACTAATCGCTATCTGAAATTACTCAGACAATATTCAAGTAGAGACTGCATGAACAGTAGTATCCTGAATGAGAAGTACTTCCAGATGTCATCAAAGCTTCTTCTTTACCCCTTTTCCATCCTGCACCAGTCTGACAGATAAATCACATTGACATGGGTGTTGAAAATACTAATTTAAGTCTCCACTAACACCATAAGAATATCCAAAGAAATCACTGTTACTAAGACAAACAAATTGGAAAAGCATGGAAAAAGAATGTCACAAATATGCACAAAACACACTATAAACGGAGGGGCTGCAGAAGCTGCTACATCACCGTATAATACATATATACCTTTCACCGACATCCTTCACTCTGGCATAAGTCAAATGAAAAGTTGCTGCGAAGCAGGATTTCTGAGTACATTCACAATAACCTTTGATTTCTTAACCACAACTTTCATGAAAAACTAAGACATGATAACTTAGCTTTCATGTCACATATTCGCATTCTAGGTAGGACAAAGGGGCCTCCAGTTATCAGGTGGACAGAAACAGAGAATTGCAATAGCAAGAGCAATATTAAAGAACCCTCCAATTCTTCTGCTTGATGAGGCCACCAGTGCACTTGATACAGAATCAGAGAAACAAGTTCAAGAAGCACTCGACACAGCCATGCAAGGAAGAACGGTCATCTTAATTGCACACAGAATGTCAACTATCGTTAGTGCAGATATAATAGCTGTTGTTCAGAATGGAAAAGTAACAGAGACAGGAACCCATCATAACCTATTAAATACCAGTAAATTCTACAATGCCTTGTTTAGCATGCAGAACATTGGCCAAGATTGTCAGACCAGGTCACATTCAACTCAATGGAATATTTTCCGTTATAAGATAAACATAAGTATTTGATGGATTTAAAATGAAATATTTTATAATTGACAGAATGGAAGCTACAAATGAGAAAACTGAATTTATCCAAAAAGAAAATGCGCCTCAGGACCATCAGCAGCCTGATGAGCCAAGGGAACTCCATAAAGAGTTTAAACAACGCCGTGAGAAGGAGCAGAAAGGCAAAAAAGAAACACGTATATTCTTCAGAATCTGGTTTGGCTTGAATAAGAGAGAGATCATAAAGACTGCTATTGGCTCTTTTGCAGCAGCTTTTGCAGGAATCTCTAAACCTGTTTTTGGATTCTACGTCATTACAATAGGAGTGGCATATTACAATCCTGATTCAAAGGAGAAAGTAGCTCGGTATTCAGCAATATTTACCTCAATAGGACTGCTTTCTTTGTTTGCCCACACTTTGCAACATTACTTATTCGGAGTAGCTGGAGAGAAGGCCATGACAAACCTCAGGCGAGCGCTGTACACCGGTAGGTAGTTACAGTGATTCCTCCGGATCAGATCAATCAATCTCTCTGCTTCTTATTGCGTCCTCCTACATCAACTTTTTATGACATTCCAAAAATTATTTTTGCAGCCGCACTACGAAATGAATTAGCATGGTTTGAAAAGCCCGAAAACAGTACTGGATCACTTACCTCCAGGATAGTCAATGAAACATCTACAGTCAAAGCGATAATAGCTGATCGCATGTCTGTCATTGTCCAGTGCATCTCCTCTATACTGATAGCAACAACTGTCAGCATGAAAGTTAACTGGAGAATGGGTTTAGTGGCTTGGGCTGTAAAGCCATGCCATTTTATAGGTGGGATGGTTCAAGCAAAGTCAGCTAAAGGTTTCTCTAGCGATAGCGCTGTTGCACACTCAGAACTTGTTTCCCTAGCTTCTGAATCTACAATGAATATAAAGACTGTTGCAGCATTCTGCTACGAAACACAGATACTTGAGAAGGCCAAACTGTGTTTAAAGAGACCATTGAGGAAAGGGAGGACAGAGAGCATCAAGTACGGAATCATACAAGGGATCTCTCTTTGCTTATGGAACATTGCACATGCAGTGGCCTTATGGTACACAACAGTTCTGGTCAACAAGAACCAAGCCAGCTTTGAAGATGGCATAAGGTCATACCAGATATTTTCCCTAACAGTACCCTCAATTACAGAACTATGGACACTCATACCCACTGTTTTATCAGCCATCGGTGTTCTAAAACCTGTGTTCGAGAGCCTTGATTGGTGCACAGAAATTGTACCAGACATGCCAGACAATGCATCAACTGAAAACATCAAAGGGGAAATCGAGTTCCAAAATGTCAAGTTTCGTTATTCGTCAAGGCCAGAAGTAATGGTACTAAACAACTTCAGTATGCAAATTGAAGCTGGAGTTAAGATGGCAATAGTGGGGCCTAGTGGAGCAGGAAAATCTTCAATCTTCGCCCTATTACTTAGATTCTATGATGTGAATGAGGGAAAAGTTCTGATTGATAGCAAGGATATAAGAGGTTACAATCTTAGGAAGTTAAGGGTACAGATTGGACTGGTGCAACAGGAGCCACTTCTGTTTAGCTGCTCAATTAGGGACAGTATCCGTTACGGAAGTGAAAAAGCATCTGAAGCTGAGATAATAGAAGTGTCAAGAGAAGAAAACATACATGAGTTTATAAGTAACTTGCCCAATGGATATGATACTGTTCTTGGGGAAAAGGGCTCTCAACTTTCTGGAGGACAAAAACAGCGGATAGCCATAGCGAGGGCGTTACTCAAAAGACCAGCAATAATGCTGTTGGATGAAGCAACAAGTGCCTTAGATACCGAGTCCGAAAGAGCAGTGGTAAGTGCATTGGAATCAATGAAGCTGAACAACTATGGAGGCACAAAAGTGACTCAGATAACAGTAGCACACAGGCTTTCGACAATAATAAATTCAGATACTATAGTTGTTATGGACAAAGGTAAGCTTGTGGAAAAGGGCAGCCACTCAACCCTGATGGCAGAGCTTGACAGTGTGTATTCAAGACTTGTTAGGCTCCAAAGTGTGGAATAATTTGACAAAAACTGACAATACATAAAACATAATGAGTCTGCCTTTTTCTCGATACAGTGGATAAACATAGCTTAAGTATCACACTAGTTAGTATTTGCAGAAAACATATGAAAACCTGTTTATATGTATCTCTTCTCCACAGAGATTTGAGTACACATAAGCGATAAACGAAAAGAAAGAGTCGTTCAAATTTTCAGTCTGTATCCAGGTTTGATGCTGTGTATCCTTTAGATACTCTGAATAAATTAACACGGATGCTTTATACATTCTTTCGTTTTTCACTCTCCTATACAGACACAATCCAGGGCAACAAAACACAAAGACAATAGTAGTATGTTATTTAATTGCTCAAAACATAATACAGTCAGAACATGCCAGACTGGTTGAATTGCAGTGGAACCTGATATAATGGCTCCTTCGCGTCTTTTATTAGCCTTGTCCAACCAACCATTTCTTTGAGAGTTACTACAGATTCTGTTTTCTGAGGAAACTGTGATTACAGAAATGGACCTAATCTGGAATTTGTCGCAAGCAATCTAGAAATATGATAGGTGATTCATGTAAATGAAAATATGAACAAAGCACCAGTACAAGCATTAATATTTTTAAAACATTAATGAGAAAACAAAAGGCCAAAACCAGTGTCTTCAAAAATGTTGACCTCGCCTAAAAGGAGACTAGAAAATTTACGGTAAAAAGACTTATTTAATTGTTTTAACATCTCAGCAATAAGGTAGAAAGGAAAAAAAGAAGAAGAGCATATAAACAAGAACAGCTACATCTATATCCCATATGTCCAGTATTTCCAACACCATGCTTTTAACCAATAAGTGACCGGAATTCCAACAATTAAGCACACAGGTTTTACCAAATTGATGGAGATCCCGGGAATAGAATAGCCATTCATATGTTTACATTTGCAAATAAACAAATAAATAGTCCCTTTAAGTTTAGAAGTACTCTATTTCTGTCATTTCTCTATATCAATGAACAAATTGACTAAAACAAACACACCTCTGCATTTCTCTGGAATCTTTAACGTCAGCCTTGAACTTATGGAACCTCATACCGCACAAACCCTCGTTGGTTAAAAGCAAACGCAACTTCAACTTTTAATAATCAATCTTAACCTTTTTCTATTTTAATCAGTGCAAAAAAAAAATTAAACTTTTACTTATTTAAAAATAATTTATTTAATCTATAGCCACACAAAATATACGTGATAACATACTTTTTTATTTTCTTTAAAATATGTGCCCGATGAAATAGGATCAAGGGAAATATTATTTTAGGCACCATTATTCCTTTTTTTTTTGGTTTATAAGAAAAGTACCTTAAAGCGAGCTTGACACAGTCGTAGAGTATTGGGAAACAAAGTGTTACGTTGTTGTTCGACCAAAAATTATAATTTTCGGCTAAAATTATTATATTTTATGTAATAATGGGTTAAACCTAGTTAATGATAATATCTCTAAATGCGAGTTTTGAAAGTGTGTGCGAGGTGGGACAGATCCAGTAGGGACTGATAATAACAAGCATTAAATAGTCATAAAATATATGACAGATCCAGCAGGGGCTGATAATAACAAGCATTAAATAATCATAAAATATATGCAATAATGGAAGAAGGACTCATAATAAATAGCAATAAATGACATTTGAGTAAATAGGAGGTGATTCACCAAATAAATAATGAGCTAGGTGATTATTCCTCCTTATAATTATGAGTGACAGACAAATCTTAGAACATTCGAAATCTTCTCGGATCTGATGGAAAAGTGCAAGATAATGTAAACAAGAATCTTGATAAAAAATGTGTTCTTTGTATCTTTTTAAGAGGGAGAGAATATTTTGTAAAGTCTACTCTTATCACAATGAATATCATATGCCTCTATTCATTATCTTTTTTCCTATTTATATGGGACATACCCCCAATAAACTCTAATAGTACAGGTACAAAGAATATCCAATAGAATATTCTCTTTAATATCATGCCCCAATAAACTAGCCGTTACAGTTCTGTTAACGACGCTTGACATCGACCATCTTCCGCATCTTGACCATGGATTTGTCATTTTCTGGTCGACCTCGGCCGACTCCTTTCTCGATACTGCTTAATCCCAAGTACTAAGGCGGATTTCGACCTATACAGTTAGTCTATCCGCTTATTAAGGCCGGCCTCAGGCGACCTTAATGAGCGGATTCTATTTACTGCGGTTGGCAAAATTTGGGCGAGAAAGTCGAGCAGTGACATTTCAGACGANGTCCCTCCGCTTATTAAGGCCGGCCTCGGGCGACCTTAATGAGCGGATTTTATTTACTGAGGTTGGCAAAATTTGGGCGAGCGAGTCGAGTAGTGACATTTCGGACGTGATGACATCGTGACCTTTCGTGAACTGCAGCTTTTGGGGTTGTGTCGCTTCTGTACCAAAATGACGTCACGACGTCATGCGTCATTATGGCGCATTTTTTCGATGCTCCACGTCGTTTTCCATGCGACTGTTAGTTGGGGGATGCCGTTTCGACTCCAGTGCCAGGTAATGATGGCATAGTCTCTTGGTTTTGGTGCGTGAATCCTTATAAAGAGAGGTGCAACGACGTTCGTTTGCTCCTTATTTTTTTCATAAAGAACCTTGTGCCTTCTTCTTCTTCTTCCCCTGCTGAATATCTTCCCTACTGGTCTTAGCGATTCTCATTACCTTTCATACTTCCTTGCCGGAATATCCCCTTTCAAGAAAAAGAAATATGGTTAATGTATCCTCTGGTTCTGGTGCGAGAATTGGCCCTGCCCCTTGGCAGTGCTTATGCCCCCTCGCGCTGATGGCGTCTCTGTTGTCGTTGAAGACGAGAATTTTTCCATGGTGGAAGAAATAATTCCCCGTAGTGAGAAAGTAAGGTCTGACTTTTCGAAGGCGCCTGAAGGCGAGCTCGAGATTTCGGAGTCAGCGATGAAACAGGTTGATCTGACTGAGCTTAGGAAAAAATTCAACATTCCTGCCTACATCGATCTAGTCACAGCAGGGCGCGATATGATACAAATTCACCGCCCTGGGAATTGCGCGTTCTATGCATACCCTTTCCATGTTAGCTATACTCTTCCCCTTCTCCCGTTGGAGGAGGAATTTTGCCGCTACTATGGTGTTTGCCCGGCCCAACTCTCCCCATACATCTACAAGCTTATTAGGATGCTCACAAATTTTGTGGAATTGGCCGGGGTCGAGGTCTCACTCCGCCATCTGGCGCTTCTCTTCGCCCCTAGATTCTACAGGGGGATGATATTGCACCTTCGTCATCGAGGAAGTAAATGCATAGTGGTGAAGATTGACGATAAGGCAAATCGTCAGTTCTGGCTCAACTACTTTTTTGTCAGAACCGAAGACGTGGTGCCAAACATGGACGGCTTCCCTGAGATTTGGAATTACATTCGTAAGTATCTATGTTTTTTGTTAAAGCACTTGATTTATTTTGGTTGTCGATTCTAACATTTTGTCCCTTCTTCGTACAGCCAAGACTATGCCCCATCCTTTGGTTGGGGATATTTCAAACTGGGTTGGTCGGGTTCTGCCTCGCATTGCGGGGATTCGTGAATGGCCGGGCTTTCTCAAGAAGTTCGGACCTGCTTCTTCCTTGGCCGGTGAGTTCATCTGTACAATTTTTTGCCATCTCGACCTCGTGGTCATTTACTTGTTGCAGTTTTATTCTTGGTAGTGATAAACTTAATTTCTTTTCAGTTTGAGGATCTTCGAGGAGGCCAAGGGCTCCTCCTCCTGCGTTTCGTAAGAGGAGAGTTGATTCTTCTTCGGAGTCTATTCTCATCGTGACCGCGGCTAGGCCTACCCGGTCATCTACTTTTGTTCCTTCTTCCACCGCGACCAGGTCTGCTCAGTCATCGGCCCCACCTGCTGCTACCTCAGCATCAGTTTCTTCTCCGCCTGCAGACATATCGGCAGTAGAGCTTCCGGCTTCCCCTTTGTATCGTCTAGTGGATGAGGAGGAAGAGTCATCACCGAGCGGTGGGAATTTAGTTTCCCATAATAGAAAGTCGGTTGACGTCGGTGACGGGATCGCCATAGCTGTGGATTCAGCAAGGGGCGACTTTGTCATTCGTGAGACGACGATAATAGTGCTTGGAGATGACGTTGAGTTGTCGTCCGAGATTCCACCATCGGTTGAGGCCGCAGAGGGTGTGTCCCTTCCCGAAGCCACGATGGAAGCTGAAGGGCCATCAACGAGAGTCCCTGATATTTTGCGGCAAGATGAGCCATCGGCTTCGCGACCGGCTGAGGGTCCTCCTTCGCTGGCCGAATGGAAAGGAAAGAGTTGTAACACTCCAAAGTTTTAACTAATATTTGCATTCTTGATTGAGCATCTTTATAATGAAGATAGATTTTACGTCGTACTTCCTATACGTGAATTTGACAATATATAAAAAAAATACTTTTTTTAAGTTTTGTTAATATTGACAAAGAAGTTCCATGGTGTTGCTATGTGTAACACTTAATATTATTTTGATGAATTGCTATTAAATAAATTAGATATTTAAGGTTTTGGGCTGCCACCCTTTTTGTATTTATCCAAAGAAAAAAAGTTGGGCAGCCACCTTTTGCTCATCCTCATCTATTCTTAAGGACCTCCTCTCATAATTCATTCTTTCATGTCAAAGAAAACCCCTAACCTCTTCCCTTCTTATCATCTGAAATACCTCATGCTAACCATAAGAAATTTTCACTAAACCAACCAGCAAAACTCGTTCTTGGTGAAGCTCAAGTTGCTCCTCTCTTTTATGATAAGTTACTAAACCCGTTTTTACACTAGACAACTATTAGTGTGTTCTTTGTATCTTCTTATATAGGAATCTATTTTAAGCGATCCAAGCTTTTCTGGAAATATATTTCATAGATCTATAACTCTTATTGAGGCACCAAAACCTGGTTTGTCTTTTATTTACCCGAAAATGGGTGATGAAGTACAAGGCACGTGTTGCCCAAAACCTGGTTTGTCTTAAGACCAAAATCTCGTAACTTGAATTTGGTAACTTGTTTTGCTGTTTTAGGGTGTGTTAATAACTCAAGTCTTGTAATATACTGAATTTACACTTTGTCTTGTAAAAATATACAAAGGAGAAGACTAGTTTTTTTTACTCGCTTGTTTGAAGTTTATGTACAATATGAATAGGCAGTGATGTTGAACGAAAAGTATAATTTTGTTAGGAAGTTGCTTAACGTATTGATTATTCAAGAAGGGTTATATCACCTTATGTTGATATTTTGATATTGTATTTTGTTTATTTTTAAAAATATGAAGTGTATTTTCAAAAACAAAATATTGAACTTTGAACCTTTATCGCATGGGCCTATTTCCGTTATTAAATTATTCTGAATGTCTTTTTGGATTAATATCTTCTTAATTTTGTAAGTAGTAAATTAGATTTGTTTCTTAAGTAGCACCCCCCTCCCCCCCCCCCCAAAGGGAGTTGCTACAAGTTTTGGTATCAGAGCCTTGGTTTGTGATTCTATGATTTTTGTTGTGATCGTACCTAGTATTTGTTGTTATTTCCTTTCTTGAAAATGACTCGGAGATTATAAATTTTTGCATACTTGCTTAATATAATTTGTTGTATTCCTTGTGTATATGAATTATGTACATGTCCCTGCTGCAGTGTGATCTTATCTTTTATAGGAGTTTTAATATGGCTTCCTCTTCGAATAAAGCTATTGAATCCGTTGATGAAAGTCAGGCCCATTATAATGCTCCACCTCACCTTCAGGAAGGAGATGAAGAACCCTTACCTAACCTAAATCATCATCGTGTTAGTAAAAATGAAGTGGGCAGTAATCCAAGAGCAATGTGTCATAGTATTCCTATTATGACTCATCCATTTCAGCAGATGACTGAGTTTTTTCGTCACTTGGCTGGGACAATGTCAGAACCTAGTGAAATGAATTTTGAGAAGATGAGAAAAATGGGTGGAGTTGAATTTGAAATCACTACTGATCCCACGGTAGCTGAACAATGGCTCGAGCGCATGGAAAGGGTCTTTGAACAACTGGAGTGTATTAATGCTGCCAAATTTAAGTATGCTATGTCTCTTTTATAAAAGTATGCCTATGATTGGTGAGTAAGTGTGA